CATATGGACAATATGTATATGTATTATACATGAATATGTATATGTGCACATGTGAAATATATATGAATATTGACAGATTTTAGATTTAACTATTGACATTGACCACAAATTTTGTTAGTTCTATTCAGAACCTGCACATCAATGATTTTAACAACCTTGAAGTTCTTGTTCTGATAGAATAGTTTTATACCATAGATATCTAGGGAAGACATGCTACAGATGTTGAAAACTGCAGGGTAAACTTTGAAAATATGCTGTTCATAAAAATATGTGATTCTAGGGGGTTCTAGCAATTGGAGCACCAGCATTGGCCACTGCCTTGAAAATGGTTTATTGGGAAGTGTTTGCTGTGACTCCCCAGTAAAAGCAAACGAGCCTCCATCATATATATTCTGTAGAACAGAGGTTGGACTGCACCCTAAATTAATGATGAATTGCAAGAAAGGTCTACTAGTTCTTTCTTGCTAGTATAAATGTGAAGGTTTGTTGCCATTTCACTGGAGCAGTGACATAGAGTGCAGCAGTTACTTGACACCACAATCCTTTAATCATCATCAGTATTGTTACTTATGTTGATGTCCACCACCTGGAAATAGTGTATCTGGATAGTATACAATCATTGCAGTTAATCAGTTTAAATTATTAGTATTGGTAGTGTCCTGTTTTTCTTTAGATATTTATTGAAAAATCAGGATATCCAGATATAGAATATGGCATTCAGTATGTACGTTGTAGTACATTTATAAGATATTATGGTAGAAAGCAGTAAAGTGATGGAAAAAAGTGAGGAAGTAACCTCACCTGACCTTTTCTTCCTTCAAAGAAAGATACTGTGTATTTTTTTTTTTTTTTTGTGATTGTGACAGATTATATGCACATAAAGTAAGTTTATTGATTCAGCACACACCTAGTTATATAATGGCCAGACTGTAGAGTTTGGTCTGCTTGGGGAATGCGTTTCCCACGCAAAAATTCTTTGGTCAAATTCTGTTCGTGCAAATGTAGTTCTCGGGTAACTTTCTGTACACGTTTAATTCTTTTTTAAATCATCTTCCGTGTATAAAATTCTTTTGATCTTTTGGCACACTCGTTCCGTCATCCGTCTGCGCAAATGTAGACTAAATGATGTTTTCCACACATGAAAAAATGTAATATTCCCTGCGTAAGAAAAATACTCTACAGTCTAGTATAATGAGAAAGTAACTGGTTTGTTTGATTATTTTGTTAAACTAAGCCATTTAGATTGACCAGTTTTACTTGGTGCTGACAGAACAAGAGGTACATATTTGGGTCTACAAATTTTGCTCCATTTGAAGAGAGTATAAAGTAAAATTCCTCCAGATTTTTTTCTTTTCCATTTTTATATTGTAGTTGAGATAATATGGAAGTAATGTTTCTGCTCCTACTACCTTCCATTTTTACTTTGTTATCTACTTTTCAGTGCATTGTACTTTCTATGATTACTCTAAGGTTTCTTTTAGAAGATAAGTAGATGAAAATAGAAGGAAAACTCTTAGGCTACATATGTTTTGCCCTTAGCGACCATCTGATATAAAATTTATATATAGTTCATATCTTAGTTTCTCCAAAAATAATAATAATAGTTTATCAAGGAACTGGAAGTAACTTTCTCAGATCTAATGATGAAGTAGCTAATATACTGGGTTTGTTATTAAGAATTATTAATATATTTTTGATACATACAATATATTTTTTCAGTGCAATATGAGTAAAAGCAAGACAGAAATAGAGGTGGTGATCTCATCACAATTTGAAGGGAACAACTTGGTGGTGAAACACGACATCAAGGGCAGGTTTGTATCTCGACTGTTCTTTCTTGATTAATGATTGATTAGATTTTATATATATACAGCATATATTTGTGTATGTACATATACAGTCTCTCTCTCTCTCTCTCTCTCTCTCTCTCTCTCTCTCTCTCTCTCTCTCTCTCTCTCTCTCTCCTCTCTCTCTCTCTCTCTCTTCTCCCTCTCCCTCCCTCCCTCCCTCCCTCCCTCCCCCCTCCCTCCCTCCCTCCCTCCTCCCCCCTCTCCCTCCCCCCTCTCCCTCCCCCCCTCCCTCCCTCCCCCTCTCCCCTCCTCTCCCTCTCCTTCTCTCCTCCCCTCTCTCCCCCTCTCCCTCCTCCCTCCCCCTCTCCTCTCCCTCCCCTCTCCTCTCCCTCCCCCTCTCCCTCTCCCTCTCCCTCTCCCCCTCCCCCTCTCCCTCTCCCTCTCCCTCCCCTCTCCCTCCCTCTCCTCTCCCTCTCTCTCTATCTATCTATATATGTACATCTATCTATCTATCTATATACATCTATCTATCTACCTATCTATCCATATATATATATGATGTATAGATATAGATATACAGCTACACAGAAAATTGTTTTTAGGAGGGTTGTTGAAACATTAAAAAATGAACAAAAGCTAATGATATGGAGGGGTTCATATTTTGGTTTCAAATTTGTCTCATTCTGATTCATGTCTTGGATAGTTGTTTGGGAATTTATAGGGATTCACTGTGAGATGATGATTTTATTTTCCTAAGAGATGGAATATGCCTGGTATTATTCAGATAAGTGACACATACCCAAAAATAGTTGGACTATATTTCTGTATTAACTGAAATATAGATAAAATTTGAGGTTTTCCTTGATTTTTCTTTGTAGTAGATTATTGTAGTATTTTCTTTAAAATTTTTAGTGAGATTTCCTGGTATATATAAAGGTTTGGTTTGAAACTTATTATTATAGGTTATTTTCTAAAAGTCCATTTGATATATAGAATTTCCTGAATCTAGTTATGTGAATAGAATAACAAAATCAGTCATTGTACATTCCATATTGACTTCCATAGAACCAAAAACACAATGCGGACACAGCCATCTAGCAAGCCACTCGAGACAGAGAGGGCTGCAGCCAGTGTCAGCAGTCATGTGACAGGCACAACTCCCAGAACGACAGTCCGCAGAAATGACCTCAAAGCCACAACGCCCAAAACTCAGAGTGCGGCCAGCAGTTCCCAAGCTGCGACCCCTAGAACACCCTCTGCGGCTGCCATTTTCAACTCCACTCCAAGAACTCCTGCTATCTCAGTCACCCATCCCACTGACGTAGCCACCCCAACCTCAGTGGCCTCCTCCAGGACCAACACGCCAGGAGTCAGTAGAACTCCCCTCGTGCCCTCAGGCTCAAAGACCCCCATGACTAATACTCCAAGGTATTTATCACAAGGTCTGGAATCTTGTGGAATTGGCTGGAGAAGTTGTGAGATAAAAACTACCTGTATGATGACTATGGAGCATATGTTCATTTGTATATCCTAGGGTTATATGTAATAAGTATTTTTCCGTTGCTTATTTATTTCTCCTTTTAGACATGGAGTCCCACTACCAAAGAGGTTCCGCAGAGATGATGAGCATGGCAGACCTACCACTGGGCCACGTACTGGGGTGCAGAGGTCCAGAAGTATCCGTGATACTGAAAGTCGGAAGAAAGATGACGAGGGAAAGCAAAAGGAAAATTTTCCAAGAGTTTTATCATCATCTTCAATTAATGTCCCATCGCCAAGGTGAATGCAGGCTTCATACTTGAATTAACTAATATGCTATTCTGATATTATAGTGGCTATAGGGTAAATGATAAAAAATATCCCTAGCACAATGAGAGGGAATGTTAATTTTTATTATTAGCTGTTATCAAATCATATATTAATTAATATATTTGATGTCTTTCCATTCTTTTGTTGAATCTAGAACTCCCTCTCTTCTTGCTGCTCATCTTCTGAGAAGTCCACGGAGTTGAAAATGGAAATTCCAAAGCAACCACATACTATTCCTTTTTCTCACAAGGTTCGTCTTTCTTGCAGAATATCTGGCAATAGGCTCTCAGCAGAATCAAAGACTCCAACATCCACTAAATCTTCATCATCCAGGTCTTCCAAAGCTTCTATTGGTTCAAATACACCAACCGTAGGCTCAGGAAGAAGGTCTCGAGCGAGCCTGAACAGATACACCAGCCTACTGTCAGAACCACCTCACACACCCATGGTATTGTAGATTTTAATATTTAGTCTAATTTAATTGATGCGTTGTTATAAGGATCATACTGCTTTTCTGATTCATGTCCAGAGTGTTTGAGGGTCAGTGATAATAATTGGTATAATTAGGCAATTGCTTTGGATAATTGTCTTGATGTGGATTTCATCCTTTTTTTCTTCTTTATATATATGAAGAATGTTGATATGTTGTATTATTGGGTGTTATTCATACTATTCCATTTGTTATCAGTCACAGGGTTCGGCAGGAGAATTTCTGACTCCAGATATTGTAAACCGTCGATCATCAGTAATGCCAGTAAGCCCGGGAATGGAGGAAAACTTTGATGGAACAGAATCAACCGCTGTATCTGTTGGTGTAAGAGTGCGGCCACTGAATAGCAGGTATAATTATTGTATTATTTTAATAGTATTCATTGCATAGGCTCAAAATGTTTTGATTATATGAACAAAGATAAATAAGAGGAAATGGGAATAGTTGAACTTCTGATTAATAAGGTTGAATAATGCACAGAGGGTCTGCATTTGCTGCATGTTTTTCTTTTTAACTTGTACACTTGACTCACCAACATTGGCTACTCTCCAGGGAAAAAGTGTCGGATATCAAGAACATTGTAGAGGTGGCCGGTAACGCGATCAAGCTATCCAACGAAAATGGGTCAGTTCATAACTTTGCCTATGACCACTGCTTCTGGTCCTGTGATGAAGCACATCCAATGTATGCCTCTCAGCAGTCTGTCTATACCACCCTGGCACGGCCGTTGTTGGACAAGTCGTATGAAGGGTATAATGTCTGTTTGTTTGCTTATGGACAGACAGGTTCCGGAAAGAGTTATACGTAAGTTTTTATTTTTATTTTTTTGTATTTCTTTGTCTGGAGATGTGTTCCTTTTCAATATCATAACATCAGCATGCTTTTTTCTGTTGATTATTGAGAGATAACTAAGGATTTCAATATAACATCAGCATGCTTATTATTGGTATAATGTATTTTATTTTGTAGTGGTGATATTGTATTTAGTTACATAATGGATATTTTTGTTTTACTCAGGAATTATTTCCCGTATCAACCAGATCACTCATAAGATTATTTTCCATCCTTTCTGTTTTTTGCTTATAGGTTGACATTCATAATTTGATAAGAGAATAGTGTGGGATTGGATGGGATGGCGAATTTTCATTGTTTTATTGTTGTATTGATATGTGTTTATTGCTAACAGTGGAATGAGTTATCTGCTGAATGTAGATTCCTCCTATTTGCTGAAACATTCAAATGTAGGGAATGAACCAATATGTCTATTGAGATAAGGACTAAACTTACATTACTGTATGGTACTGCATCTGGACTGTACAGGATCTTTATACAATATAAGGGAGCAATGGTGTGATATCCAAGCCCTCTATCTTTATGTCATATTTAAAGGATGCTTGGGGAGGAGTCTCACGAGGATCCAGAGTCAGATGCAGGAGAAGATTTGGGAGTTATTCCTCGGTTCTGCAGGGAGCTCTTTAGCCGTGCCGATTACCTGCACTCACAAAATCCTCCAGAGGAACAGGTGTGAAATCTCATTCCTGAACTTGATTTTTTATTCAATTAACTTGGGTTATTATGTTAGTTATATATTATTTGATATATATGTGTGTATGAAACTGTATGCGTGTATAAGAATGAAGGTATTCTAATTTGATACTAATAGAAATTACTTGCATGATACATAAAGCTCCCTCAGTGTCGCATTGAAGTGGAAGTCAGTTACATTGAGATATACAATGAGAGAATATACGACCTCCTGAGTAGCGGTGGGTGCAGTGGCGATCGTCGGGAGGCCTTGCGAGTTAGAGAACATCCTGAGGATGGGCCCTATGTGGAAGGAGTCGCTCGGCATCTGGTTTCATCGTATAACCATTTGCAGGTGAGATAAAAAGATTTATTCTCGAAAGTTACAGTCTTTGTTATTTTTATTGATTTTATTTTTCTATATGAGCTGTTTAGGTAAAAGGAAGTATATGTATAATATGGCCTATATCTCTTTCTTTCTCTCTCAGGGCACATATTTGTAATGTTGGTTTTTGTTTCTTATTATATTTAGGTACATTCTTATACATAGCTTGCCTGAAAGATTATTAAAAACTGGTCCCTGATCCCCAAACAAAAATTGTAATAATTATTTGAATTTATCCCTGAAAGACATGGCTGTTATTAGGCAACAAGGAGAGATCCATTGCAGCTACTGGAATGAATGACAAGTCTTCGCGTTCACATGCTGTGTTCACACTGAGACTCAAGCAGATGCAGGTGATTTTTGTTACTGATGTTATTATATATTGCAGTTATTATTATTGTGTCTGTATATGAAAAAAGAGAAAGAAAATATATAATGTATATAGTATTTTGTAAAAACTGTTTCTCACTCTAACCTATCCTGGAAGTATCCTTTTAGTAAGGTCCAGATGAGCCTCAATTTGAATGATACTAGTTAGAATTGAAGTATGATAATCTCCATGTACATTGAACATACAAGTTTCTCCCCAACGTAATTGTTTTGATTTTACTCTTAGTATTTTGTGGTTTCCTAACCTTTTACCTTTTTATGTTTTTCACAATATTGTAATGTTTACATATGCGCAGGTGGAGGATGTGGAAGGTGAAAGACTGGAAAGCAGTCGAGTGAGCATCATCAACCTGGTGGACCTGGCAGGTAGTGAGCGTGTGGCTGCAGCTCAGTCACAGGGGGATCGGCTTAAGGTAGGGAATTGATCTTGGTTGTGGAGTATATTGTTTATTGTGTACTTTATTCTTAGGTATTCTGTGTCTAAATTTCCAGATTTGTTAGTGATCTCTCCCTTTCTCAATGATATATCATTATTTGTTTCATGATTTGTAGGAAGGAGTATGCATCAACAAATCACTGCTGACTCTAGGGAAAGTAATCACTGCCCTTGCTGAAAGCGCTGGCCGCAGGAGACCCTTCATCCCATACAGGGAGTCAGTCCTGACTTACCTGCTGAAGGTGCGGTATTCATGCTTAAGTACATTTTACTGTTCATAAGGTTTTAATGATTTATGACTATTATTTGTGTTTGTGTTTGTATGTTGCATGCATGTATGTTCATCCTCCTAACTTTTGGTGGGTAATAGAGGAAATGAATATATTCATATCAAATTTAGACTGACCCAGATATGGCTCATGCTTTTTGAACTTGATGTTGCAGTTACAGTAGCATGAATTTGCTTGTTTGTTTTCCTCAACTACATTTAATATAATTAGCAGTGATACTAATGAGAGTGAACAATTTATCTAAATCTTAGGAGTCCCTTGGCGGTAATTCACGCACAGCAATGATAGCCACAATTTCACCTAGTAACGTCCATGTGGAGGAGACACTGTCAACCCTCCGCTACGCCCAGCAAGCTCGCAAGATTGTCAATCGTAATCACATCAATGAGGATCCTACAGCCAGAATCATCAGGTAAGGTTGCTGCAATACCAAATGTATGCTTAATGTTTTGCTAGTTTTAAAGAGCAGGCTGTGTATGTCTTAGAAGGAATGGATTGTGACTTCCTTTTTCTTTTCTTTTTTGTGTACATTTATCCTGTAATCCCCACACCCTCCTCCCTCAATCAGGTCTCTGAAGGAGGAGGTTGAGCGCCTCCGCCGCCAACAACTGGTGAAGAGCCCAACACTTCTTTTTGAAGGTGAAGTAACTAATGAAAGTGACAAGGGAGAAGATCTTGATGATGAGAAGGAAAGGGAAAGGGAGTTGGCACTACTGGAAGTGGCAAAAGAGAAAGATAGAGCCATCAAAGAGAAGGAAGAGATAATTTCATCCTTAAAGGAACAGTTACAACTCCAGTACCAACTGCAGCAGCAGCAACTGTCTGAGAAAACAAGGTCTGTGTGTGTCGACTTGTTTGTTCTGTGATCGGTTGTACTTCTTTCTTTTCTTTTTTATCTTAGTGTAGGTATTTTTGATCCTCTGTTGCTGATGTTTTACTTCCCTTGGTCAAGGCCATTAAGGTTTATATTTGTCTTTGTATATAAGTATTGATCCAGTTCAAGTTACAGGGAAATTCATAAATGCAGTCTGTACTGCTTATCTGCGGAGAAAGTTAATACCATAGGTGGACACTTGTGGTGATGATGGGGCCAGCAACCCTCTAAAAGAAGTCAAATGACATTGTTACCTATAACAATAAACTAGAAATACTAATGCATTTAAAAGGAGCATTGCCCTTTTATTAGAAACTTTGAAAAAAATCTCTCCTGTATATTTTGGCAGGAACTTTGAGCAACGTCTTAGGGAAAATGAGGAACGGCAACAACAAGCCCTGGAAAATCAGCGACTCATGGGCATTGCAAGCCAGGTAGGAGTTTTTAAATGATAATTATTTTTATTTGATTCTGATTGTCATTTATTGATTGAGATATATTTCCATTTTGTTGATATTTTTTTATTCAGAGAATGATGCTGAACTGTATCTCATTAATATTTAATTGAGAGTATTCTTTGAATATACAGTAAATAAACTCATCATTCACACTTCTTTTTCCAGGAAGAGAAGGGCCCCAAGCTTATCAATCTGTGTGCAGATCCCCAAATGTCAGAAACACTTTCGTACAGGCTCAAGGAAGGCACAACGAACATTGGTCACTCGCACTGCGATCTCATCTTACAATGCCTTCACAGCAATAATGTCCACTGGTAAGCTCTTCTTTCTGATGATGTGCTTCTTATGCCAATTGCTTTATTATTTTTTTTTCTCACAAAATTTTATTTTCATATTTATTTATTTCATCTTTTATTTTGCATTTGTAGTTCTATATTCAACGAGGAGGGGCATCTGACTCTGTTTCCCAAGACAGATGCGGACACCTACATTAATGGGGTTCTGATCACAGCTCCTTCACCGGTAAGGATACTTTGAACTCTACATTTCTGAAGCTGTTTTGAGGTTGAAATACTCATGAACAGTAAAAAGGGATAGTGTATATTATTTGTTATTTCCAGGTGCTGGTATTCATACAGTATATAGATAAATAGAGGGATAGATAGATAAACAGATATACATAGATCCATACACTTCCCTTCCTCCCCTCACACATAGATATGGATGTATAGATATAGACCCCCCACCACACACACCACACATATATAGCATGACTTGAGAAACAGCAGCCTAATGCAACATCATTTATACTTTGTTATTTAGTGATAGCAGGATGGCTCCCAAACTTTTATTTATTTAATGGTACTGGATATTTTTTGGGGTTAAATCAGTAAGGTTGAAAGCACCATCATTTAAAGGTCTCAATGGCATGAGTAGCTCTCCTTAGCAAAATTTGCTGGTAGAACAAAAATCTGCAGTGTTGGAGATTTTTTTTTTTTTAGATATTTTGCACACAGACAAAGAAATAGATAGATGGCTTTAATCACAAAGACTTCCTGGTCGATATAAAAAAAATGTATGGCATTTTTTGATATGATGATATTAACAGTGTAATTTAACATTAATGTAGTATCATTATATCTACTACCAGACAACAATATAAAGTCTTTATAGGTCAAATTTAACATACAGCACAAAACAGGTCTTTGGTCCAAATTAATGAAATTCTATCTTTATCACTCATCCATGCATGTAGTTGGCATGGAACTTGCAGACCATAGAGGCATTTTCTGATTTTTAATTTTTTTTTTTATGGTAGTTGTTCCTTGCAGTGTGCCATATATTTAAAAATAGATAAGTAGCTGTTTTGTTTCATATTTATGCAATATATGTGTTTTCTTCTTTATGCTATAGATATTTGCGTATAACTCAAATATACAGTAACTTCTTATCCTTTCCTCATTTGATTTTGCAATTCCTCCAGCTCCACCATAATGATCGGCTTGTCCTAGCTGGCACCTATTACTTCCGCGTCAGTATTCCGGGAGACAGTACGAGTTCAAGCAAGGAAGACTCTCGCAGACTGGACTTTTATTTCACAGATCAAGAGCTGCTGAAGGAACAGGAGAGGAGGTTAGTAGGAGTCTTGTTTTGATCTCGGTTAACTCAGTGATTTTGTATTATCGAAAGATTAAATAAAAGTAAAAAAATGAGAAATAGCTCTCCATTTTGTGTGGAATATTTCTTCACTACATCATGGGTCATCTTTTAAAATGTTTTATACTTTCAGACTGAGGGAAGAGGCAGAGGCAGCCTTAGCAGCAAGCAAGGCAGAGCTTGAGAGACAGATGTGCCACCAACGAGATCAGTTAATGCAAGAAGTGCATGAGGCACAGAATCAGCTGGTGAGAGCACGTTGTCTTGTAAAAAATCTCACTTGTTAAGTAAAGCATGGTTTTGCTTGTATATATTAGGATTTCATGAGGATGTACCATACTCTTCATATAGTAAAATAATGTATATTTTTTCCCCTCAGATGACTAAGCAGCAGCTTGTTGCAGAGATGGAAGGGACACAATGGAAATTAGAGGAAGAAAAACGGCTGCTTGAGGAACAGATTTTGAGGGACAGGAAGATCTCTCAGTCCTTGGATGCATCTCTTCAGTCGCCTCCTTTTCCCTCTTCAAACTTCCTGCAGGAGGTGATGCTGCTTTGGAGATTTCTTGTTACTAAATGGAATACTAGATTTAATGTGGATTATGTGTAGATTTTCAAGATATATTTTTAATACATTTTTTATTATATATTTACAGGTAGAGGCTATCTTTAATGAGTCCATTCAGGAGGTCAGAAGGGAACACACCAACACACAGCCCAACCTCAGTTTCAGAGTCAAGGAAGCCAACCAGATCTGTAAAAGACTGAAGAAAAATTATGTATGTATAAGACCTATTTGAAATCCTATTTCTTTAGTCTTTCCAACTGTATGGTGTTTTATCATGGCAGCAATTAACTTTTTTTTTTTCTTAGAGATTTATTGCTCTCCTTTTTTATTTTAAAAAGAGAAGAAAAATAATTATGATACTGGTTTGCTTTTATTTGCCTTGTTCTTTTTTTGTTATTTATTTACTTTTTTTTAACCCTATACAAGGAAACTGCAATATGTAATAAGATATTATATACATTCCCTTTTTCCCCAGGAATTCATGATCCAGGAGGTGCTCAATGAAACAGGCCTGGAAGTGGTGGTGTTGGTGAAGGACTTGAATCACCACATGACTGCCACACTTTCTTCCAAGGCTTTCATGCAAAAGTTGCAGGTCCTTAGGGATATGGTGCAGGTAAGAACAAGGAAGGAAAAACAAATACATAGGCAGATATAGGCAGACAAACAGAGATATAGGTAGGGATTCCGTTATTTAAAGTCTATTGTTAATAAAGGCAAAGAAGGAAGGTTCTACTTTGCCTTTGGTAAATACTCTGAAAAAAGTTAATGCAGTTTTCTTGTAGTTTCAAAGCCATTAGCACATATATGCCTTTAGGGAGAACATTCAAATGGCAGGTGGTGTATTAAATTTGATTTTGTGATAGCTTTGAAAGTAAAATACATTTTCTGAGGAAGAGATCACTTGTTTATCAGTGCCAAAGTAATTATTATTGTTTTTCTTTGATTGTATAGCTTTTCCTGTACTTAGAACATTTGTGCACAATAATTTACTAAAGGGAATGGGTTGCACCTCTGCTTTCAGGGTGAGGAAGGGGAGGACGTCAGCCTGGAGATGGGGATGGCCTGGGAGAGGACGGAGGATGTGAACTGCGTACCAGCCTTTATCAACAAGCTGCGTGATTCGTCAGCACTGGCCGCCCTCAACTCCTCTCTAAATTGCTCCATCAATGCCTCTTTTGCCCAGCAACGACGTCCTAATAGGCGGAGAAGTGCGTTTATTTTGTTTTACTTAATGTTAGTTTTAAGATGTCTTACACACATTCTCAGATTTGCACACACTTATTTATGAATTTATTTATTTATGTGTTTTTGTGTGTATGCAGTTTTCCTCAAAAGTAATTTGATATACACATTTACTTATCCTGAGGAGGGTGAATGGTGTAAAAATACTAATGGAAATGGAAAACATAAAATCATGTATATTCAGAAACTTTTAGACTTGCAAAAAATAACTTTCCTTGTACTTCAAAATATGACAGAAAGTAAGGGTGATTTCCCCCCCCCCCTATTTCCAAATTTCACATACTGGATTCCATTTCTTATCTTCTAGCTAAACACTAAAATTTTGGTTTTCAAATTTCTAGCCTAGAGGCTAGTTTCTCATCACCTTTTAGACAACTGGTGTATTTTCTTTTCTTTGTTGCTATGAATGTATTTTTATTTGCAACATTTTGCTTGCTGAAAATTTACAGGCTTTCTACACTGTTTTTGTAAAGTAGTTTCTGAAGTTAGCTGTTTCTCTATGCATACTAAGCTATACATTTTGCTGGGAAAGATAGTTACTGCTGTTGTCACTGTTGTCAAATGATAATATAAAAACTTTCTAGAAAATCTTATTGCATTAAAATAATTTAGTAATTTTCATATGTCCATCCCAATTTGTCTTGCATTTACAGTTTCACAGGTTGGAAAATAATTATATAAAAGAAGTTCTGATTTCATTAGTTTTGCAAATACTTTCCATACACAAATGTCAGTTCCCTGGAAACTATCCTAACAGGCTACATTTTGATTTTTGCATAATCTTCTTGTAATTTTGGCTTAGCACAATATATCCAGAAATGTCTATATCGCCATGCACCAAGTTATCCCGTTTTATTGTAGTGTATTTCATGTTGAGACAAGTCAAATAATGTTGAGGATTCATTATTTGTTTTTTCTTGTCTTTTTCTTCTTCTTTGACTTGGAAGAACACTAATAAAAAAAATTACCCTCAAAGGCAGCATTCTCTGTTCGGATCGAGCAAGCATATTTGGCAGTGGTGGAGGGGGATCAGGCAGCAGTGGGTCAGTGGCAGTGGCCGGCGCAATCCACCGCTCGCTCATGAGCCTTCCTTCCTATGACCCCGCCTCTCCAGCTGTTGATGCTGCTTTTAGTGCTGTGACCGACTTGAATAGTAATATACAGGTATGTTTGCTTTCATAACACCTTTTTTTCTGTTTTTTTTTTTTCTTCTTTCCCTTGCTTCTATCCATTTTCTTTCAGTATCATCTTGAAAGTGAGTATCATTTTGTAGGTGTTTGTAATTCTAAGAGTTTATATTTGATGCAATGTGAAGGTGATGTTTGATTCAGAGAAGGTAGGATCATAAACTTTCCTGTCTCTCCACAGCGTATCAGAGACCACATAACGGAGCCTGGAATGACACTCCCAGATGACGAGTTCAGTGAATACCTTGTGAAGTTGCTCTGCATCAGCCAAGCTACGAAAAGTTCCCTGACTACAGTAGCTGCCATTAATCCAACAACGAATTGCAACCGCTGTAGCCAGTTGCAAGAGAAAATCAGGAAGGGATCGACCAGAATAGGCTCTTCAACGAGTAGGCTTTTTCAGGTGGGCTGTATAAATATTTCTGATTTACTTCCAATTGGACTGTTTTACCTGTGGGGGTTTTGGTGAAAAGCATAAAAAAATGGTAATTTATATTATGTTGTCTTGATGAGTTTAAGATATGAAAGAGGTGTTTCTTAGTAGTACAAGATATAAAAAATTGTAATTAAAGGAAAGATGAACATGTTTTCACAGTATCTGTCCTCTTGTTATCCTACCCCTAACTGAACTAAGTGGCAACACACTACGGCAGTGAGACAGATGTGACATTTAAAAGTCACTACCATGTTGTTTAACTTTGGAAAAGCCTGTGAAAAAGTTCCCTCACAAATTAACAGATTACTGGATTAAGTAGTTTCCTGTGTGTCCTACATGGTGACACTTCTGACTGTCTGTATTTCTTCTGGTGACCCATAGGACAACATTCATGGCCCCATCCTTTTTCCTGCAAATATGGAAATGGTCTCTCACTACCTACACCAAACTCTTATGTTATTTTTTTGCTAATAACATGCACTCAAACATTAAGAAATAAGTTGACAAGTGACTTTTACAACATATAAATTTCTATTTGGTTTGCAAATCACTCTCACCAAGCCAGTACACTATATATTACATAGCTAACAACTGACATCCACAACATTTCATAAACTTCAACATATATTGATTACAATACAAATAAAGCCAATAGAGTAATGGTGTTCCTGAAGAGAAAGCTATATAACTGCACACCAGACATTAAATTTATAACTTACAACACATTTGTACAACCACTACTGGTGTATTATATAGTAGTATGGTACCCTAACACCAAACACATTTTACACTAGCTTGAATAAGTCTGCCAGAGCCACCAGGCTCACAATCAGGTACAAGATTACAATCTCATAGACATTTACGGGCAGCACATACTTGTAGCATGCATAACTAATCTAATTAGAAATTTCTTACATACCTCACTAACACATATTTAAAAGCTCTCATTCCTCTCATTTACCATATATGACTGGAATAGGCAACCCCAATACATCCTTGGAACAGAAACTATCAAAATCTTCAGAAACAGCACAACAAACATCTCACAAACTAACATCTATACCAATGCAAACACAGCCACTTATACTTATATCCTTTGTGCCATCCCAGCAAATCAGTCTCACGTGTGTAACATATACTAATGAATGTCCTACAAATTAATGAGCAAAATCAAGAGAATTTTTTAAAAAAGATAATGAGTAAATCATCTTAATGCGAATTGCCTTTTGCATCACAGGGTGTAAAGAGTGAGGTGGAGAGCCTGGTTGAGGAGGAAAGCAGAACACTGTTAAGTGTATCAAAGGACATGGCCAAGGATATAGCCCAGCTCGCTCTCACCGCTTCACTACCCACACCAAATGTTTCCAATTTGAATACTGGTAAGGAAGAAGTATTTTTTAGTTTTGATTACATTAGATTGACACTCCCTTTTATATTTAATAGTTTTACTATCAGGTATTGTCATTTTTATTTCTGTGATTGTGTTTGATGAATGACTGTATATGTAAATATATTTGTCTGGTTTAAAGTATTTAATGTTTATAGCATATGGGTAGGATTAATTTTCACCTTTCATCAACTGTTGCAGAAGGGGTTGTGTGCAAGAAGTTTGTTGAGGGTCTTCGGTCTGGCCTCGAATGGTTAGTGAAGCATTCTGCTGATACTGCTAATCACATCACGGAATTTACTGATAATGCAACCATGAGTACTAAGTAAGTACAAATTTGTGGCTTTGGAATAAGAGCTCTGAATCTGTGATTGTGGATTATTGGGCTGAAGATAGTACCATACCTTAATTGATGAAAAGTTGCATGATAGTTATATTATTTCAATTTCTTTGCTCTCCTCTGATTGTTAGCAATGTTGATCTATCACTTGAGTGTAATATCCCTTGTTAAATACCATTATTGTTTTCAGTTTTAAGGATGCTCTCTCGGCTGAAATACATAAGGCAGCTTCAGCAGTATCTGCCTTTCTCAAGAAATTTGGCCATTTGGATGTGAGTTAAAATCTCTTTTCATTAAGATGTAATTTTGTATGGGTGTTATTGGTAAATTTGTTTCTTTTCAGGATAATCAACACTGTAGGTTATTACACTATACCAACAGTTTTATATCTGCATGCATCTCACTGACCTCTCATTCGATTTGTGATGTAAAATGTTGCTATGTTTAAAGTATATGGTTCTCTTATTTTCCATTTAGTTGTCCTCTTTTACAAATGTCTCTTGAGTGATGGTATTTCTTTCTTTCTCTTTCTACTTAGGAATTGATTATCTCATTACATTCTTTACATTGCCGTAATGTTTTTGCATATAGTTACTACACAGTCTTTTTCCCTCTCTCTCTCTCTTTTTTTTTTTTTTTTTTTTTTCTTATTTATATATATATATTTTCTTTCATTTTACTCCAGGCTGCCTTTGACTTATCAAATACTCTAAGTATAGAAGAGCAGAGGAGTAGGTTGAGTGAATGGGTGACCAGGGTTGAACTGGCAGCTGACACCATCAATGAACTCAACACAGCCTTAGAAGAGATCTTGGAACAGGTCAAGATACGCACGCAAAGTAAGGCATTGTTTCACATTGTAAACACCTTGAGTATCTGTAATTGTTTTTTTTAAGGGTACTCTTACAATCTGAAGAGTGGATATGATTTTTGATTGCAACATATATTTGATTTTATTCATTTTAAAGAAAAGAAAAAGAGATAAACTTTTATTTTAATATATCTGTTGCAGGTGATTTAGATTTTGATAAGCTCGAGGGAGCCGTAGAAGAGGTGAAGACGAGACTAGAGAAACTAATGTGCTTTGCTGGTCTTGGACCCAAAAACTCGGGAACCTTGAACAACTGTTCCTTCAGTTCCATGTCTAGTCTGGAGGACAGTGGTGTGTTCATGGACAGTCTCAGCACCATTGCTTGGAGAGCAGTCCAGGCTATTGAAAGTCTTCAGAGCGTCATTAGTCAAAGGGACTCTCTCTCACTTCCTGACAGCAGCAGGAAACAAAAGGCCAGCATGATGTTGGGACACTGGCCCACCAATAGTAAAGAGTACATGGAATACCGCAAAGGACAGAGGAGTACACAGAAGTCCCCTTATAAGAGTTCTCTCCGGTCAGCAACCAGTGTCTCTGGAGAGGAGAAGAGAGTTAGGTTTAAAGTGAGTGTGTCTCCAACAAGCACAGAGGGAGAGGATAGTCTAGATGTGTAGTTGTTATATTACTCTAAGGAGAATTTATGTAGAATATATTTATTCCTGTATTTTATATGATTTCTTGCTTATGTGTTTTGATGTTTGGATTGTAGGAAATGGACTGGATACAAACAATATATACTTCTGATATTTTAGGCTGAGACTGATGACAATATGAAGGGGAAATTTTATTTTATTACATTTATTAGAGGCCATTAGAAGAGAACCATTTGTCAGTGAATACCCATTATAGCTGCTTGAATATACAAATACAGTACCAGTACATTCATCAGCCTATGTGCCATAGTACTTTGATGTTTAAATTGTATGTTTCCTTATAAAGATGTGACCTTGAGCTCTATATTTAGTTTTAATTAGTATGCAAGGAATAGGGAGAAAGTTAAATTACAAAATTAAAGCTTAGTGAACATACATTACAATGGATACCTGTGTCAGTCATTAGTCACTTTTTGTTGTATTTCTTAATGTAAAACTTATCTGCAGGCCATGTACAGTAAATATTAATGCACGTTCCATGAAAATAAGTGTTAATAACATAATTGTGAACCCACCCTTTAGATACCAGTCTTGACACACGAAACTGAATGTTAACCCAATGCTGTGGGGAAAATGTTGCGTTCACTTTTGTGTTGTAATGGTAAATGTCTCTGCACATAGATGGCTCTGCCAGTGCTTAGCCACAAAGGAGTCAATTAGTAGATCTTGTGACCTCACCTTTCCTTGAGTTGACAGGAAAAACGCTTTTTTTTTTTTACTAATGCTATCAATATTGACATTTTTATTTTTATTATCAACATTGTAATTATTATATTGTTAATGGCATTACTAATGGCAGTATCAGATGCTAGAAAATATTTAAAATCAAGGAAAAGGTTAAACAGGTGAGACAGGTACTTCTCATAACTGGCTCATTGGTGACCTAGTACTTGTGGAGCTATATATATATATAAAAGCAATTATTAAATTAAACACACAGTGGACATAGCACGTACGCACATGCCTTCCCTGTCGGCATATGGTTAATCTATGTCTAACAGGGAAAATGACAAAATAGTTGATTACTTTGCCAGAAGAGTAAGCATTTTAAAAATCTTTTAGTTTGTACACTTAAACTTGTTTCACATTCCGTTTTTTAATTGTCCTGTCGAAAGCTCAAGTTGTGGGCTCACTTGATCTCTTGCTCATGCTTGAAATGTGTGTTTTCATTTAAGGTCATTTTACCTATTAGTGAAAACTGTTTCCCTGCATTCTTTTGGTAAATTATATTTTTCACATTAATTATAATAAATATATGGGTATCAGCTGCATTGATGGAAATGTTTTGTTTGCCCATAATACTCAGCCAAAGTGTAGAGAATACCTGTTACTAAAGTTAATTACTTATTTTGTGTCATGGAATCTTCCATGTGGGTCATTGTAATGATCATGAACAAGATTACCTGAAAATTATTTACTGATAGAGTGTATGAATATAATTTATGTAAAATATATAGGAAGTGATTATTGCACTTGTTTGAATATCCTTTTGGAGGTAAAATGAATATAGCTTTAACAAAATATACAGTTGGTAATGTTTCTAGAGATGACCTTTTACCTGCTGACCATTTAGTGTTTTTGACCCAACATCACCAGTGTAGTGCTCACTGTAGTATTGTTTTGTGAAATGTGTCTGTACAAAGATCAACTTTGAGTTTGTGTGAAAAATGTATTTTTTACTTATGCTATCAATGTTGATGCTGTTGTTATTGTTATGTGATATCGATAACTCTGTAAGCCTGTGTTGTTTAAAAAAATAAGTGATAATGGCTTTAATTCTACTTTTGCACCATTAATAAAGGTATAAAAGAATAATCTATAAGACAGTCAGTGGAACTTACACCAAACACTTACCAGCCCAAACTATAATTCATTGTCTTTATGTATAGAAGGCCACACATCCTTTCATTAATGTCATACACAAACATGTTATACCATCATACTTCACTTGATGTCTAACTCACCAGCTGATAACATGTAATAATATCTACCACACAATAAAAGAATTCCTCTGTACACTTGTGAATGTTCCTATGGAAAAACAAAAGATAAGGAGGCTAAAATAAAAAAAATTGAGAGGAAGATTGCTGAAAAATTGTACTAACTTTTTCTGCATCATCCAGTTTTACAAACAGTAAGACATCACTTTACGTGTAAAGTGTGGTTTCTATGATGTGATATTAACAGGATTACCATGGCCATTACAAAAATAAAGCAAATATGATTGAGCAAAGGTAGTTTTCTTAATAAAAATATGCAACTGTATAAGCTTTATTCAGTCCCCACCCTCTGGTTATGAGCACTGACTGACTAGAAAATATCATTATGATTTAAACTTTCGAGTAACAATTGGTGGGATTAATGTGATTACTTGTGAATGAGAAATATGATTATGAATTCATGAACATGTGAACTTCAGAATAAATGAACAGCTATAGAGGAATGAAGAAAGAAGTGTATATCAGTGGCTATTGTTTTCAGGAATGATGACTAACTTTCATTATCCAAACCTGAAAATCATATCGGCACTATCCTATGGAGATCCCACCCTTGAAAGAAAATAATGGTAATAGCAACATCATCAAACTAGACACAGCATTTCATTATCTATTATATCTATTGATAATTTTCTGCTGTGTCAACAGCTAAGGTCATTAGCAGTGTATTCAAGATTTAATGATAATGCTTGAGGACAAAGCCCCAGGCAAGGAAAGGTCATACAGCAATATGATAAAGTATTCTGGTTAATGATTAGGACAAAAATTATTAGCACAAAATATGTTAGATGTCAAAGGTTGTTGAGCACTGTAGGTTAGTATGGCAATGAAAAGGGTAAAGAGGAATAAACAGCATGAAGGCCGTTCAGGACTGACAAAGCCAGCATTTCATCCTTTCAGCTCGGCTCTCACACTTTAGGATGTGGACCTAAGAAGGGGATGAAGAGAAGGAAAAGGAAAGGGGAAGAGGAAAAAGACCATGCATATTTAGCTGAGTCAAGGGCTGAGGTCTAAAGGAGGTGATCCCCTACATTGGGCTTGTGTCCATCTCCAAAACCCCCCATGACAACAATGTGGGGAATATTTCATTATCATTTATTTTCAAAAAGAAAAAAAATGTACATTTCTTCTTATTTGGAACATGTATAAATTATATATATATATATATATATATATATATATATATATATATATATATATATATATATATATATATATATATATATATATACATATATAATATATATATATATATATATATTATATATATATATATATAATATATATATATATATATATATATATATATATATATAATATAATGTATATATTATATATATATATATATATATATATATATATATATATATATATATATATATATATATAATATATATATATATATATATATATATATATAAATATAATATATATATATATATATATATATATATATATATATATATATATATATATATATATATATACATATATATATATATATATGGAAAAAAAAAAAAAAAAAAACCAGATATCCTCAGAATCCTTTCAAGTTCTGCCTATGTTGGACGTCTGAGTTATGAAGAGTTTGTAGTCACACATCAAGCTGCCTGGGGATAACTTATTGAACCGAAATTCATATGTTGACCAAATTCCAGTATGTTATAAGCATCAAAGCTATTTACTATATGTCTAATAATTCTTACCTTTCCGGTCAGCTTTCCAAAGACGACATACAAACAAACAAACCATATCACTGTCATTTCAGAACAAGAAACGAAAGGGAATGATAAGTCATTTACAAAAAATCAGCTGATAACAGGATCTTTAACAGTTTTCTGTGATAAAATTGAAAGGAAAGTGGTAGCTTTTGAGGGAGACTTGTAATGATTTGTAATTGTTGGGCTTCGTGTTAAAGAAAACGGTGAGTGCTTGATGAGGGATGCGGCATAGAAAACGGGAACACCGAGAGACCGGCGAGTGGCGATGGGCGGCAGAGCGGTCCGGCGTTGGATAGAAGGTAGTGACATGGGTTGGGAGCTCCCGTTGATCGGTTGCAGAGTTTTGTGAGTTGACATGACAGAGTGTGTGTTTTTATGGACTCCCCAAAGTCCACAAGATTGGTATACCTCTAAGACCCATTGTATTCTCAGTTAACACTTTCAATTAGCCAAGCCACATGTCTCCCTCGCCATTGTATTTCATCATTTCACTACTCAACTTCCCCTTACCCGCCAAACTGATGAAATGCCTAGATAGCTTGTCGTTTAATACAATGATATAGACAAATAAAATGTTCTTACCTCGTACTTTGACCACCATTCGCCGCGCCCGACACCAAAACAATAGACCAAATCCTAACTACACCCCGTAAACAAACCAAGAAACCACAAATGCGCACCGTTACCCTTACCGTGAACAAGAAAACAACACTGTCACCAACCTAACACTGGGTATTATTGGAAAAAGGCGTCACCTTTGAATCGACCAAAACTAACCTTATAGCCTTGAAGATGTTTAATTAACAATCACTTTTCATTAAATAAACTTGTCTCGCAAATTAATAATAACGAAGTTATTTAATTTAAAAAATAATAAAAAAATAAAAAATGAGGTGAGATCCACACGGGAGCTGCGGGAATACTGACCAAATTCTTCACTGCGCATGCGCGGGGTCTCTCGTACCCGTACTGTTCCTGTTATCTCGCCTGTGACGTCACGGCCAGTGTCACGATTTCATTGGTCAATTGTTTGGCGGTTAATTTAATAGCCAATGGAGAAAGAATTCACGAGGGAAACAGCCAATGAATGAACATTAGCTAAAATAGAAGCTATGAAATTCAATTTTCAAATTAGTCTCGCCATGACTTCCGTGTGTGTAGGATGTGGTATCAAACCATTCCAAGTTATAAAAAGTTATTTTGAAGACGATGAGGCTAGCTTGAAACTATTCCATGAACACGGAGTTCTACCCTCTGAAATGCCCTGCGATCGGCCGTCGCGTCGCTCGTGCTCACGCAGACCTCTCCAGCGCTTCCGCTCCCGCAAGCCGCTCCACTGATATGACGACCCTCACCCCGGCCCCTCCTCTGCATAGGTATGTTTTAGGTTTATTTTCACTGAAGTGACTAAATGTACGGTGCTTCGCGTGCGTACGAACGGCATGAGGAAGCGCCTAATGCCGATTTTGTCCGACGCTCTGTCCTGCCGTGAATACGTGGAGGATTCTTTGTTTTCCTGGGCGGGGGTGGGGTTGGGGGCGGCAGCACCCCCCAATAAGGGGGTCGCATGGGGCACAGCCCCCTGCAGTGTAATTTTCGTAACTACGACCGACATGCGGGACCGCCCGATGCCGAGTCTGTCCAACGCTCTCTCCTGCCGTAAATACGTGGAGGATTCTTTGTTTTACTGGGCGGGGGTGGGGGGGGGTGCTGCATTAAACAATATTGTGACTAAATCGGTACCGTGATTACAGCAGAGAACGAGAATTCCAGAGTGCACATGCATTATATCAAGAGTGGCGCAACTCTGGTATGGAAAAGACATTCTAGCCATTTCCGATGGAAACGAACACCGGAATCAACGGAACCAAAACAATAGAAATCGAACGAATCTAGTTTCGTCCCGAAAAGCGTTGGTGACGTCTTTTTCCAAATTTACCACATTCGCGAAGAGAGCCAGAAGCAAGAATGGAATTATATGTGGTTTCGTTAA